GAAATTTGGGATCAAGTTTTCACTTTTGACGAAAACTTTAAAGCATCAAAACCAAAAGGTGGAAAATTGCTCTATATTCAGTATGATTATGCAAGAAAACATATCCTCCGTGATTACCTATCGGATTTTTAATAATCCATCCCACTGGCAAACCTGGGCCAAAAGGGCTTTAAGTAAGCCAAGACTGTTACAGCCCCAATGCGAAAAAGAGCGCTTGAATAAGGGATATTTCTATCCGATACAAAAACACATGACCAGATATTAATGCAAATCAGTAAATAATTATTCAGTTTTCTTTATTTGGTTTCTACAACCATCCCCTTTTGTCTGGTTACGGTAAACATTAACCCTTTTCTCTTATATTAGAAAATCAATTAAGCGGACAAAAATGCGCCGTACGTGTTATCATTGATATTTTGTGCGCCATACGTTATCATTTCCGGAAAATGACCCGATATTGATATAAGTTAGTTGATTTATAAGCAGTCTCAGACACCCTTGTTCTTCAATACCCGGGAGATCATCAATAGCTAATAATATCATAAACCAAACAAAATTACTTTTATCTTTCAAAATTATTCATACCCTTTCCCCCTTTTTTCCAGCTTCTGGGGAAGTCTTGGTTCCCCTTTGGCTTACAAGACACCTATAAAAAAAGAGTGACCAGATATTCTTAGTTAGGTACCCCAGTTGTCAGGTGCCCATTAAGAATCCACCTAGATCCACGTTCCTATTAAATTTTAGTTTACTTGCAGGGAACCAGTTTTAAAAACACCAACGATAAAATCCGAGTTATTTACATGTGTAACCCTTTCTCCTCAATGCCGTTTTGAAAGGTTAAATTAAACTTTAAACTGTTGTCATATTATTGTACCGTATTAAGGTTCATAATGGTCAAAGTCAGCAAGTCAAAGTATTATAACAAACCCGTGTATTTGAGAGGTGTGTTAAATGGGAGCTATTACCTAGCAGTGGGAGCTAAATGCATGGTTTGTATGCGTTACAAGGATCCAGAAGAGAAAAAGAGAAGAGAGCGAATCTGTGAAAACTATTAAACAGACATTATTAAATACTAGGTGATAGTTTTTAAATGACGTGAATATGTTAAACTAAATGAATAGCATGTCTGACACACCCCAATTTGGTACGAAGTGTCAAACAAGAGGACACTAAAACTTATAAAAGTGGGTCCAAATTATCATTTATGTATCAGACCAGAGACATAGTCATAGATATCTATATCTCTGATCACACCTACTATCAGTGACACATTCCAAGTCAGTAGAGAACTCAATTATAGAATTTGATGAGTTATGAGTTCCTCTATAATTTTTAAAAGGGCCACTCTGAAAACAATATCACTGATATCAACAGGCTGGTCACATTGTCCAGTTGGGCTTACAACATATTACTTAGAGTGGTTGGAGCAATGCTCGGCGCATACCAATGCTCGGCGTAAAAAATATTTTTTTTAGAAAATCTGAAAATGTCTCGAGTTATCTCTGATATAGGTCACTGGTGCTTTTATTTACATCTTTCACCATTTTATCCTGGTGTGGTTCACTGCTGGTAAAGTCACGTGACAATGCTAATAGCACACAAACAACCGTATGTAATCCCAACATATATATTATTAAAAATCTTTTACACTAGAGTTCTGGGCTGTAAAATTAAAACTAAAAGTTGGGGGTACTTGTAAATGTATGAACCTAATTTGGTTGTTACAATTTTATTCAATATGTTTTCTTCATAAGATAAAAAAGAGATTTTATTCGAAAAACAATCCTGCATCATGTAGTATTGTACGCCGAGCTATGGTACAATTTCACGCAAACCACCCTTGTTTATCCGGACTATCTATAGTTCCAGCCATGCACATCATTATGTGATTAGCGAATTTTACACAATGGCTTTTTAAAACAATATCATCGGTCTTGAAAATGGACATATAACATTGAGGTATGTTGACATTGATTTGAATTTGCCATATCAAATATAGTATTTTTACGCCGAGCGTTGGTCTACCCACTCTAAATCTCTTGAATAGCAAAGAAGATAATTATTTTACACTTGCTTTATTCATGAAAGATGACACACAAAGCTACATTGAAATTAAAATACAGTATCTTAATTGAATCTAGATTTGTTAGACTTATTTTCTTATTTCTGATTTTATTGACACAAAAGTCTAACAAATCTAGATTCAATCAAGATACTGTATTTTAATTTCAATGTAGCTTTGTGTGTCATTATGTTAAAAATCATGTTTTAATGCAATGTTTAAAATAAATGTGGACTTGATTTTTTTTAATTGCTCCAAATAAGTGTGCAAATACTATTTATCTATATATTTATGGCTAATTCTTTTCCTGGTACACATGCTTGGACAAGTCTTTAACAATGGACAGTTTTCTTTGATTTTAATTGTTATACATGAAAACACAAAACAAGAGGGCCATGATGGCCCTGAGGTCGCTCACCTGTATATAGCCCCCCCCCCCCCCGGGCCAATTTTTACCCAAGGGCTTTTATTTGAACAGACTTGGTAGACACCCATAAGAAGATGTTTCATGCTAAACATCTAAGTTCTAGCTCATTGGGTTTTTGAAAAGAAGATTTTTTAAGTTTTTACTATACACATATAGTTAAAAACAATGTGACACCCCTGGGGCAGGGCCAGTTTTTGAACCCCCGGGCTTTTATTTGAACAAACTTTGTAGATATTTACTTAAAAAATGTTTCCATGTAATAATATCTAAACTCAAGCTATTTGGGTTTTTTTCAAAGAAGATTTTTTAAGTTTTTGCTATACACATATAAGGAAAATCAATGACCCCCGGGCGGGCCAGTTTTGACCCAGGGCTTTTATTTGAACATACTTGGTAGACACCCATTAGAACATGTTTCAATGCTAAATATCTTAGCTCTAGCTCTTTGAGTTCTTTAAAAGAAGATTTTTTAAGTTTTTACTATCTACATAGAGGGAAAATCAATGACCCCTGGGGCGGGCCAATTTTGACCCTAGGGCTTTTATTTGAACAACTTGGTAGACACTTCATTATAAAAATGTTTCATGCTAAATATCTTAGCTCTAGCTCTTTGAGTTCTTTAAAAGAAGATTTTTTAAGTTTTTACTATATGCATAAAGGGAAAATCTATGACCCCCTGGGACGGGGCCAATTTTGACCCCAGGGCTTTTATTTGAACAAACTTGGTAGACATTCACTAGAAGATGTTTCATGCAAATATCTAAGCTCTAGCTCTTACGGTTCTTTAAAAGAAGATTTTTTAAGTTTTTTAACTATATGCATATAGGGAAAAATCAAATGACCCCCCCGGGGCGGGGCCAATTTTGACCCCAGGGTTTTTTATTTGAACAAACTTGGTAGACACTCACTAGAAGATATTTCAATGTCAAATATCTTAGCTCTAGCTCTTTGGGTTCTTTAAAAGGAGATTTTTTAAGTTTTTTACTATATGCATATAGGGAATCTATGACCCCTGGGGCAGGGCAATTTTGACCTCAGGGCTTTTATTTGAACAAACTTGGTAGACACACTCATTTGAAGATGTTTCATGCTAAATATCTTTAGCTCTAGCTCTTTTGGTTCTTTAAAAGAAGATTTTTTAAGTTTTTTACTATATGCATATAGGGAAAATCAATGACCCCCTGGGGCGGGCCAATTTTGACCCCAGGGCTTTTTATTTGAACAAACTTGGTAGACACTCACTAGAAGATGTTTCATGCCAAATATCTAAGCTCTAGCTCTTTGGGTTCTTTAAAAAGAAGATTTTTTAAGTTTTTACTATATGCATATAGGGAAAATCAATGACCCCCTGGGGCGGGGCCAATTTTGACCCTAGGGCTTTTTATTTGAACAAACTTGGTAGACACTCATTAGAAGATGTTTCATGCCAAATATCTAAGCTCTAGCTATTACGGTTCTTTAAAAGAAGATATTTAAAGATTTTTCTTTCGGTTGCCATGGCAACCAGAGTTCTGCATGAAATGGAATTCTTTGAACAATCTTGATAGAGCTTCATACAAAGAGTATTCCTGCCAAGTTTCATTAACATTGGCCTTGCGGTATCATAGAAGATGTCCTTAGAATATTTAAAATGTGGACGGACGACTGATGACGGACGCCATTTGGTTGGCCATCCTAAAAGCTCACCTGCACTTTGTGCAAGGTGAGCTAAAAATGCATACCATCAGATTTAGGCGCAAAGTTACCATTTAGAACATAAGAAAGCTACCAAAGTTTGTTTTTGTCCAAACTTTCCATCATAACATATGTTTTATGGACTTCAAAAGTTATGTGTCATTAAAAAATCTAAAATAGAAGAAAATATTTCTATAAGAACCAAAAGTTAAACCACTGATTATTACTCCTGAGGTCGCTGGGTTCGATCCTGGGTTGCACCCTTGAGATTTTTCAGAGACACTTTCAGTGTATCCCACCTAATTAGAGGTGGACTGGTAAGAAATCCAGGTAATCCTTGCATGTAACAGTATTAGTGATATACACTGGGCATGTAAAAGAACCAAGGGGTCTATTCAATAAGAGCTTGTGACTGGTTCCTGGATTCCGTTGTATCTCATAGCTGTCTCTTTAATGTATACAATGTATACCTGCTTAGAGTGATCGTAAATGATTTTTAAGTAGTATGAGGTAGAAGTAGAAGTATTTGTTTCAATGTTTCTTATGTAATTCTTAAAAAATGTATAGCAAGTGTGAATGAAATATCTTCATGGCCTTTCAAGAAATTTTAATATTTATGTTATAAGCCTGATTGGGCAATGTGAACAGCCTGATTAATACTGTGACCTTCACTTCTGAAGTTCTGAGAAAAAGAAACACATAATTATCAAGATCACTTCTGAAAGTACTAATAAAACTGGCAGTGGTTAGATGTCAGCCAACAGTATACAGCCAGGACAAACTTTACAGTTTTGGTGGCTGGTCTGGCTCTATACTAGTGGCAAACACAAATCACTTGGCTTCAGAAAGTTATAAGTTAAAATTGTAGGTAAGGGTTCAAGTTTTAAAAGGCTATGTGACACCTTTTTAAAGTTTTTGTATAAAGTTTTGAAATAATTGTGTGTACAACCATGATCTGAATTCATATTATCATCTTGAAATATTCTAATTCCAGCCGATTCTACGTCGGAAGAAAAATTGGAGAGATGCAGTGCAATATTGAAATATGGCATACCAGAAGATGGTAGAATGGTACGTTACTATACCAACCATGCTTTGGTTTACAATCAGCAAATGAGAATCCCAGTCTGGGTATCAGAACATCTTACAAAAGAAAATTTACAAGGTTATTTAGTTTCTGATCTCTTTTTGAATTCAGTTTTATTTACAGAATATTTTTTGTAGTGGCTTTGTATTTTGCTACAAGCAGCGTTGGAAAAATTATATCTTCAGAGACCGAAGGTCGGGCGAAATATCAATTTTCCCATGCTGATAGTAGCAAAATGCATGGCCTCAGAAAGTGACTACAACATAATTATCCTTTTATTATACATGTATACCTAGAATAATAATATCTGTCATATGTTGCGGTTCGGACCTGAATATCCGTCCCGAGGTGACCCGCCCATTGGGCGGTAACAAGGCTTGCCGAGTTAGCGTCCATGGGCGGGTACCGAGGGACAGATATTCCGGTCCGAACGGCAAACATATGTCAGATATGTTTTCTTGCATATTCTAAAATATTCCATTATATTTTAAATTCTTTATCTTAATTTTTAACACAAATTTATGTCATTACAGCCGTAACTCTTTTCTTAAATAAAAGAAAGAAGAAAAAAAAGACTATAGATTTTAAAGGAAATACAAAACATGATTAATAGATCAAATCCTTGGAGAAATGTTTTCACCTATTGTTTACTATATGACATATATTCCATATTTTGCAGGTAAATCAACTAGAAGGTTTGCAACTTTTATGCCAGATCCTGCCGTGGATGAAGAATTTACTGCTGAGAACAGCGATTACTGGAAAAGTGGATGGTCCCGGGGTCATATGTCCCCTGCTGGAAATAACAAAATTAATCCGGTAATTGGTAGTTAACCCTCTTGGATAAAAAGCAAACACTGCAGTCATATAAAAATAGTCTCTTTCTGTATCAAGAATATTGAATGTT